AATCACCTCTCTAGGATCGAACCATCAAGAATGAAACCGACTTTCCTTTTCCAGAATATAAATTCCAATAAATAGCTAGGGAAATCCAACGAAAATTAATACCGGTGTGTTACTCAAAACAATGTAAATCAATCCAACGTGGAGTCCCTACGTTTAGCTGAAATCCGAGGCTACGAACTTGGACGTAGTGGTACATAAGCCTCGACGAAGAGCCTACGCACCAACTTAACGCAATGTGGGTTTTTTTGGAAGATGTTGTTGTACAGGTCTCAACCTCCTTCTGCCCTCCAGCAGACAAATTATAAATATACGAAGAAATTTTTAACAATTTCTTTGGTAATTGAGTGGTCAGCCACTGCCCATGATACAGACTTGACCTTAATTCAATTAAATTAAACGACCTTTATTAATCAATCCATCAACACTGATGGATATTAATCATCACCCTGTGGAATCTCTCTAACCAATGAAAGCGACAGAAGTCGAATCAATCCAAATTGCTTTTTTCATTATTAAAATTGTGAGGAATAAATTTCGAATATTTTTTTAAATTATGAAAATTCTGAGAATTTCTTAATAGTTTAATCGAAGTGAGAATAACGACCCAAGATACCAAAGAAGTTGAGAATCCTTTCCTGATAGGAGTAAACTCTATTAAAACATATTTACTTATACTTTTTCTGGTGTGCCTCCTCCCAACGCCATAACTCTGAAGGTTCGATTTAAGGTCACGCCAGTAGCGTTCGATATTCTGCGCGTGCCAGGTTTTATTGTATGAATTGACGAATTGGTAGCGGTGGTTTACCATGCGATGAATGCACCCTTTCTGGGTGAACCCGCGATAACTTTTCCAGCCGTCAGAAATAACAATTGTACCTTCCTTGACATATTTATTGATGTAATAATATAGAGTAATATTTGTACGATCTACTACTGGCACCGTCACGACTTGATGTGTTGTGCGATCAAAAATACGAATAATCCACTGCCCCCTACTCTTTCTCCATTGGTTATACTTCATCCCACCTATGTTCGTTTCGTCTACCTCAACAACTAATCCCCCCCCCCTAGTCCCGCACCGCCTCTCTCCTCAGTCCACAGACTCAATACTGTGTTTACTTTATTTATCAAATTTCTGATACACTTCACACTAACACCGTATTCCTCGCTGAGGGTTTCCAGTGATTTTATCATTGATGATATATTGTGATATTATTTTCACGACTCTTTCAATTTTTATTTTACAATTTGCAAATATTGTTTTGTTGAATATGCTACTTTGACTATTACGTTGTGTCCTTATTTTCTTTTTGTGATAATCAATCATGTTATGAGATTTTCTACATTTGAATATGATAATTCCTAGTTCACGTGTCATCAGCGCACCACACCTATTACAATAGGCATGGGAACCGACGGCTCCGGGCTAGGTCAAGAACTGTAAAATTCTCTCTATCTAGGCTCATGATTATAATGTCCTCGTACCTCATCTTTCTTCTTGACACTTCGAGAACGAAGTATTGAAGTCAGCACCTCAGAAACCTACTGTGTGTTTCATGTATGTAGACGATACCTTTGTCATCTGGCCACATGGAAAGTTTGTTCCAACTCAATTCCTGAAGTTCTTGAATACTCAGCACGTGAGCATCAAGTTCATTATGGAAATTGAACAAAATAGATGTCTTCCATTCTTAGATGTCCTGGTTCGACGCAACGTGGACGGCACTCTAAACCACCAAGTATATCGCAAGCCAACCCATACAGATAGGTAACTCAATGCTACCTCCCATCACCACCCCTCCCAGAAGAATTCCGTTATTAGCTCCCTAATGTATAGAGCACTCACAATCTCTCAACCCTCCAACGTTGACAGTGAGGTTGAACATCTTGAGATAGCTCTGACCAAGAATGGATATAACATCCAACAAATTCGGAAGGTCAAGCAGAAGCTACAGAGCAAGCTCTCATCTCCCGAAGAGGAGACTAATCATGAGGAAAACCAGGAAAGACCAAAAGTGGCCCTCCTCCCCTACCTGAGAGGCACAACAGAACGCATAAGTAGAGTACTTGGCAAACATAACATTCGAACGATCTTCCAGCCTCCAAAGAAGATCGGACAGATGCTGCCAAGTGCAAAGGATCCAAGACCACCTCTGAGCACACCAGGAGTGTACGAGATCCCCTGCTCATGCGGGAAAGTGTACATTGGAGAACCCGGAAGGAAGATCAGTACAAGGATCAAGGAACACCAGCGGTGCTCCAAATACGGTCACTTAGAACAGTCTGCCCTGGCTGAACACTGGATGGACACTGGACATACTATCCAGTACGACCAAGCCAGAATGTTGGCCAAATCTCAAGGGTATTTCGAAAGGAAATACCGAGAGGGTTTGGAGATCCATAAAAACCCTAACAACCTCAACAGGGACAGAGGATATCAAGTGAACCCTATTTGGAAAACCGTCCTCCCGGTTTTTTAATTGACCAGCTGATCAATTAAAAACATATGATTGGCTGACCACCCCCCCCCCCTTCCGCTTCCCACACCACCACAAGGGAAGGCATATAAGGACTACCCCAAGACATCGGAGCTCAGAATCGGAGCTCATAGCCCTGAAGATGCAGACTGCAATGTTTGCGAAACGTCGGCGCAACGCTGAATCCAAACGCGGAATCCATCCGGAAGCCAAAGATGTCATTAATCATGGCCGCGTAAGCCTCAAAACTAAGGTTTATTGATAGTTGTTGCAATAGAAGTGACTGGAAATTGTTGGATTTTAGTTTTTTATTTTTATTTTTATTTCTATTTTTGAATAGATGAAAATGAACATGTTGACGATCGGACTCGTATTACTCTGATCGATGGTGTGGCGGGGTCGGAGTGACTGTAAGTGGGGGACGCCACAGTTGCGCTTGTACTACTGTCGTGTACTCAATTTTCTCATTTTTAATTGCCTTGTACTCAATTTTGTCTCTAGGACCAGGAAAACAAAGTTAAATGAGCTTAGGCTCTGAGTCGTTTCACAAGGGATAAGCTCTGCCTATATATGCCTCGGACGTCCATTGGTTTTGTCTCTAGGGTCGAACCCGAGTGTCCAAAAAGGTTGAGACAAATGAAAAATGACTTACTTTTATTTCCATTCAATCATTGATTTACGGAAAAGTCGATAAGTTGTGACTGTTTTCAATACTCTATTAAACTAATTCCTGAAAAAAGGATTAGGGCGAGTCAAGAAAAGGGACAAATAAGGGATAATTTGAGAATAATCAACTATATTTTCTCTAAATACAATTCTGATCGTCAAAAGACGTAAATAAGGCCTTTAACTGAGATCTAGGGAAGTGGGAGAGGCCAGGCAGCTTTTGTACACGTCTAAAGGGGGATTCTAGGGGATAGCAAAGGGGGAGATTCTAGGTGTGTCGAGGGGAGAATAATAAAGAAATGAGAATAGAATAATTGAATTTACCGGGGGAAAAATAACTAAGTGTGGCGTACCGTTGGGGGGGGGGGGGGAAAGAAATAATGTTCAAGGCCAGGGGGAAATGAGGGGGGCAACTCGTACTCACGTTGACTTCCGGGTGCAATTCGCACGTGCGTCTATTCTCTCCAAAATACACAGAGCTTCTCCAGGGAAAGACCTTCCTCCCTACGATCCACTTCCTGGGCACCAATGTAGCTTGGGATGAGCTCAGGGTCTCCAAAATTCCTCTTTTTACACAATCCGGGGCGATTTCCGCAAATAACGGGCTTCCTTGTTATCCAACTATTTGAGCACGTGGTAATACTCAGGGCAGCTGGCTTACGAGTGCCAATTCTCTCGTTCTCCTTCGTCTCCTTCGTTCCTTTCATGAGGACTCGTCAGTTATCCAGGTCCTTCGGATAATTTTCGTGGGGAATCGGGATTAATCAGCGGGAGTGAATGATGCCCACGATCACGGTCCAGGGATGTGTCACATGGGAAATTATCGAGGACAATGAATAGTCGAGGGTTTTGCATGGGAGGATTCCAGGGCGACGGCTCCTTCAGTCACTCAGTACGGCCAGAACTGTTGCCTTCCTTCGGCTGCAGTCGTCATGAAGTCCAGCGGCGAGGGTAGAGGGGCGATGAGGAGAAAAGCGGGGGAAGAGGTGCTTAACGGTGGCGGGATTTACGTTTTAGGAGGCTGTGTGTGTTGGGAAAAAATGTAGGTAAAAATAATAGAAAATAAATAAATATGCCTCGTCACAAAGTTTACCCACATGATTTTGGAAAAATTACAGAGAATTTCTTAACTGTTAATACCTTTTCTGTTTCCTCTCATTACGTTTATCCATGATTATCTCAAAACTGTGTGACATAAAACTAAAAAAAGGAAAATTATAGCAAAATATACTGAAAACTCTGAGAAGCTTGCGTTCCGCTCGCGCACATATAATAATGATGAGACGGCGGGGCCTCACCGCCGAGGTGCCACAGCCATATTTTTCTCTAGTCTCTGAACGCGTGTGGCTCTATCTAGCCGCAGGCGGGCTACTACAAGTTATTCAAATCTCGAAAACGAGGCTCGAATATAATTGAAATTTTGTAGTTCCTTCTCCCCAGTGCCCTGAGGGGTTAGCGTACTACGTTGGTGGGCAGGCTTAGCTTTGGAAAGCTAGTTTCTTCTCCACCAAACCAAATTCAACGTTGCGGTCTTAAAAATTACTCCTAAACTTGTCGTACAAATTCGATTTCTTCATAACAGTGTACACCCAATCAGAACGGGTTCCACCGTAAATTTTGTTTTCAATTACTGAACAGAACCTTCTCATCGATTCATTTGAATTGGTATGGAAATATTTTATTGTAAAAGCTCAAATGATGAATCTATTCCATGGAATCCTTCCAATTTCCCTAATGATTTAGTATCGTTGGAATAAAGAATAATCATATATGATTCAACTTCTTATGAATCACCTCCGAAAACATTCACAAATTGATCAAAAGCAATTTTTTCATTTTCAATATTGTTGTTTCCAGAGAACGAGCACTTTATCTCGATCAGCTTCAAGAGGATCCTGAGAAAATGTATGAAGTGCTGACCAAATTGAACAGATACCTACAGCAACAAGACAAGTAGGTATTTAAACATAGTAGTACGGTAATTGCAGCATAGTCACGGTCTCTTTTACGCGACGATTTTACATCTTGCATCATTTCATACCAAATCGTCCAGCCCGTGACGTCAATTCCTCAGTTTCTATTCGCAATTGTTTATGTGGTTTATCTACCTCAAAAAGACACTCAATTTCTTTTATTTTTTTCTACTAGCGATCAATTTTTTATTCAACCTGAGAGCTAAAAAAACCGCCACGCGTTCAAAATCTGAAAAAATTTACAAAATTAAAAATAAAGATGACAATTATTTTCAATCAATTCCAAGATGGATAATGCAGTAGGTATCTCATTCGCTAGTGGCACTCGCATGTTCTTAATAAAACTTAATTTTTTCTATAGTCGGACATGTCTTGTGGCTTCCTGCATACGAATCCGATAAATTTTTGGGTCAATTATGATTTTATAACTATTTTAATTAATTTTCCATCAAAACGGCTGGAGATATGGAAAAATGTTTCTCACAAAAAATGTTTCATAAGAAAAACTGCGAAATTATTATATCTTCTGATGTATGGAGATATTTAAATAATTATGAAGAACGAAGTAAGTGGGGCGTTTATTGCAATTACATAATTGAATCCATGTGAGTCTTTTATCACGACGATTATACCCAAATATAATGAAATCAGTCTTAGTAAATTGCAGATATGTACCTTTAACCCATTAAGGCACTACTATCATGAAACTTATCGATGTGAGCATGGAGGGGGAAGAGCCAACTAGCGCATGCAACACAGTTGTGTGGGGCTGTGGCCGAGTGTTGGTGCATTGGTGAGTCCACCACCGCGCTGGGTGCCAAGAAGACATCCACTGTCGAAGTGTGCAGTAGTTTTGTATGTGGGAGGCAAAGTGGCGCTTTGCAAAGATTTCTGTTTTAGCAAAGCCAACAGTTTTAGGGATGCTAATACCGAGAAATTGTAACAATGAATGTGAGGATTTACTTTAAAAACGTCTATTTTTTCGTTATTTTATTCGATTAGTTTATGGAAGACAATGAAATGCACCAAAAAATGACCTATTTGATTCAAATATAAGCCTTTATTTGAGAACATTTATTTATTTCCAAAAAAAACATTCGGACTGAGTAAATCTGTTTAAAGGAACTTCCGCAGTAAATGTATGGAAGTAGAAAGAAATGGACTGCAGAGATGAAATTTTGAGAATATATTCTTTGAGTGATTACAAATATCCTCCAGGAGTTCCAAAACGCTAAACTACGTGAATTGTTCAAGAGAAAATACGAAAAATGTATCATTAACAGAGAGTCTTATGGCACCACTTTTTCAAAAATCACAAAAAAATACTCGACAATCAAATAAAAATCCGAACGCGTCACGAATAGAACCGTATATATTTCAAGAATATATCCCCATAATTTCATTACCTGTCACCACAGAGATATTTGTAATTATTGAAAATTGTAACGAGATTTCCTCCTTACGGTTTGAAATCCCCTTAAATAAACGGTCACACTCTTAAATTTATGATAAGAGGGACAACAAAAGACATCTAGAGGCGGCTGCAAGAGCCACGACTAGATTAAAACAGCCACAGACCAATGAAAGGCGGAAGGCACAGCGGTTTTGGGTAGAACCGCGACCCCTGGAAGTCTGGAGGACGTTACTAGATTTTCGCTAATTTAGAATTTGCCCAGCTTGTGTTAGGGGAAATGGGCCGACGTACAAGTTGTCCAACTGGGCGATTCTAAAGGCTATGTCGAGGTAGACTAGGGACCAGCGGCCAGGTGAGAGGACTAACCCCCGGGTGCCCCCGTGATCCCGTTGGGTTGATTGATGGGGATAAGGTAACGGAATGACCTATCGTCGTCGAGACATCCAGACTAGGGATGAAGGCTCTAGTAGGATTCCAAGGGAGTCGAACGCGGGCGCTTGAACCGAGAGGTTGGAAAAACCTCTGGGTGTACTGGATTGGAGAATGACTAGGGAAGCCATGTTAAGGAGTGTTACACTCCACGTCGCCTTGGTGAATAACTGTTGACGGCGAGTACAGGGGGATGCCCCTGCATCGCCTGCTGGTAAGAAGGAGTTATTTCGGAGTGCGAAGTGACGACTTTGTTATTTTCCGGGGTGATTTAGTCTCGGCGGCGTATACGATTCGGAAGCGTATGGGCCCGTCGGCCTCGAGTAGAACAATCCCCCTGATGACCCGACCATACGCCGACGGTTTAGTAATACCCGGAGGCAGTGGCTCACGATGACCGAAGTGGTAACTCGTGGTCGAGAGTGTGGGTAGTCGTAAGGTGGATAGCGTAGTTTCACCTTCGTCAGATCAGTCTTTCGACGTCCCAGGCTCTGAAAAGTCCCGGCTGATTCGCATCTAATTGTGAAAACTCTCCCGAGTCGAAATACTCGGGAGGAGAGCGAATCCTGGGAGAGTCGAAAGACTTTCCGGAGGAGAAGCCAACGTTTGCCATGTGGGATTCAATTTGACTACAGTATTTTTAAGAGAGATCTCGGGGTAATAGTTTTTTTAAATGTAGTAAATAAAGAAGAATAATGGGGGGTTGCTATTTCATTTCAGACACTGGTCAGGATGGTGGCCAGATTGTGTTGTGATTCTGGCATTTAAATGGGGTTGTGGAAATTTTTAGGAAAAATTTAGTGTTTTGGTTGAGATGAATATTAATAAATTACCCTGATGAGTAAGGCCGGAGGGTTCCTTTACGGAAACGGTAGATCAGGCGAAATTGGCGTCAAATAGTGATTTGAAGTGAGCGATAAATAGGGAGGGAAAAAAAGTTGAAAAACATCCTTACATGAAATCTTTGGCTTTCGGATGGATAACGCGTTTGGATTCAGCGTTGCGCCGACGTTTCGCAAACATTGCAGTCTGCATCTTCAGGGCTATGAGCTCCGATTCTGAGCTCCGATGTCTAGGGGTAGTCCTTATATGCCTTCCCTTGTGGTGGTAGGGGAAGGGGAAGGGGTAGTCAGCCAATCATATAGTTTTAATTGATCAGCTGGTCAATTAAAAAACCGGGAGGACGGTTTTCCAAATGGGGTTCACTTGATATCCTCTGTCCCTGTTGAGTTTGTTAGGGTTTTTATGGATCTCCAAACCCTCTCGGCATTTCCTTTCGAAATACCCTTGAGATTTGGCCAACATTCTGGCTTGGTCGTACTGGATAGTATGTCCAGTGTCCATCCAGTGTTCAGCCAGGGCAGACTGTTCTAAGTCAAATACGGTCACTTAGCACCGTATTTGGAGCACCGCTGGTGTTCCTTGATCCGTGTACTGATCTTCCTCCCGGTTTCTCCAATGTACACTTTCCCGCATGAGCAGGGGATCTCGTACACTCCTGGTGTGCTCAGAGGTGGTCTTGGATCCTTTGCACTTGGCAGCATCTGTCCGATCTTCTTTGGAGGCTGGAAGATCGTTCGAATGTTATGTTTGCCAAGGACTCTACTTATGGGTTCTGTTGTGCCTCTCAGATAGGGGAGGAGGGCCACTTTTGGTCTTTCCTGGTTTTCCTCAGGATTAGTCTCCTCTTCCGGAGATGAGAGCTTGCTCTGTAGCTTCTGCTTGACCTTCCGAATTTGNATACCCGCTATGTCTTAGGTCTTTCATCGGTTTGTCGCTCAGTTCATCTAGTTGCGGCTTTCTTCAGCCGCCTCTAGATGTCGCTTCATGTCTCAATTTTAGAGTTCACGTATCTTTTTAAGGGGATTTCAACCCGTAACGAGAAAATCTCGTTACAACCTGAACCATACAGTAGGTTTCTGAGGTGCTGAGTTCAATACTTCGTTCTTGAAATGGTCCATGAATATATTTGCAATAATCGGGGAAATGGGAGACCCCATTGTCGCTCCCGATTTCTTCTCATAGTACTCTCCTTTGAACTGAAAGTATGTAGAAGTTAAGCAATGCTCAATCAGGGGAAGGAATTGGGAAGAGATGTTGGATTTCTTGATGATTTCCAAGGTTTCTGGGATTGGGACGTTAGTGAAGAGTGATTCCACATCAAAACTCACTAGGATATCATCTGGAGAAGTCCGGAGATTTCTCAGTTTGTTGACGAAATCCAGTGAGTTCTGAATGTATGAACCATTCAGGCCAGNTGATTCCACATCAAAACTCACTAGGATATCATCTGGAGAAATCTGGAGATTTCTCAATTTGTTGACGAAATCCAGTGAGTTCTGAATGTATGAACCATTCAGGCCATTGATCAGCTGGTCAATTTAAACTATATGATTGGCTGACCACCCGCTTCCCCTTCCCCCACCACCACAAGGGGAGGCATATAAGGACTACCCCTAGACATCGGAGCTCAGAATCGGAGCTCATAGCCCTAAAGATGCAGACTGCAATGTTTGCGAAACGTCGGCGCAATGCTGAATCCAAACGCGGCATCCATCCGGAAGCCAAAGATTTCATTAACCATGGCCGCAAACGCCTCAAAACTAAGATTGCACGCCTCCGCGGAGAGGCTATTCTTGGGTCGGTGAATTGATTCACCAAACTTAGGAAGTCCTTGCATGTCCAACTGTGCTCCCTAACTTTTTTAAAAAGGTGCCGTGACCATCAAGTGGTACCTCCGTCTGAGGAATCCTGTCCCATCGAAGCAGGTAAATGCCATCCTCCGCCAAGCTTCGTTGCGATTGGTCAAGGAGAGAAGAACAGCGGCTAAGAAGAACCTGGCCCATCTCTCCAGACAGCTTCTCGATCTCCACCTTCTTCTGGCTCAGACGTTGGAGTCTCAGCTGTGGGAGACTCTCGATCGTGTTACACACGAACAAGCAGTCCGAACAGCTGAGATGAGAACGGAGAGTCAGAAGGGTAAGTTCAAGAAACTGATCCCCCAGGAGAAAGTCCCAACCCTCACTCACACTGTGAAGAATTTGAGTAAATTTGAACTCAGTGAAGCACAAGTGTCTGTGTTGGCGAAAGGACACAACGTCGCTGTTGCCCCTTAAAAGATCCCCACCGAGGAAATC